ACAGCATACAAGGCCAAAGCCAAAAGAGCAATGCTATGGCGATTTTAATATAAAGAAAACTTTGGGAAAGGGTGCATTTAGTAAAGTACTTTTAGCAGAGCATAGGCATACAAAGCTAATGTTTGCCTTAAAGTTTATTAATACTAGACATGCACAATCAGGCAGTTTGGAAAAGCACCAAGTTAGAATTAAAAGAGAGGTAATGCTTCTTTCTCTTCTTCACCATCCCAACATTGTCAGGATTTATGATGTAGAAAAAACATCAAAATACATTGTTCTGGTAATGGAGCATAACAGTGGTGGAGAGCTATTGCACTATATTCTTAAAAGGGGAAGGCTGCATGAAAGTGAAGCAAGATATTATTTTAGACAGATAGTTAGTGCCATGGATTACTTGCATAGAAACTGCATAATCCATAGAGACTTGAAAATGGAGAATATAATGCTTGATCATAGAAATCGCATTAGAATTATTGACTTTGGATTTGCAAATACATTTAATTGGGATAAATTGATGGAGACATTCTGTGGCTCACCACTCTATATCTCACCTGAAATTGTTCATGGGATTAAATATACTGGGCCAGAGATTGACATTTGGAGTATGGGAGTATTACTATATTTTATGGTCTGTGGATGTATGCCATTTGAAAGCAAAAATAAAGATGAGGTCTTTTATAAAATATCAAGGGGAAGGTTTATATTGCCACCAAATCTCAATCTTAGCAAGGAAATACAAAACCTAATACAGCATATGCTTACTGTAAATCCAAAGCTAAGAATTACAATGAAAGGTATTATTGAACATCCATGGACTAACAAAGGCTATGATCATTTAGTTGATAACTACTTGCCACCAAGGCCATCAGTAGTCCTCAGTCCCAATATTGATACTTTACAAAAGATGAGAGAGTATAACTATAAACCAGAAATAGTAGCATCAGCACTTTTGCATAGTGAAATGAGCTTTACACCAATAGTATGCATATATCATTTGATTGAAGAGGCACATCAGAGAAAAGCTTTAAGAAGTGCTCAGCAGAGCTATGCAGCAAGTTCTGCTAATAACTCTGCAAACATCTCAACAGCTGATGTGCAGAATGATATAGTACCAGCTTCTTTTGATAAAATGCAAGTTCACAAGGCTAAACAAACTTCAAAGCCAAGTGAGCTCCCATTAGACAGTGTGTATTTGGCTTTAAGAAAAGGAAATAGATATGTACCAGCAAATATACCTAGTGAAGGCACTAGTCCACAATCCAATTTAAGACAGATTACAGATATTAGTAATGATGAGGCTGCAAATACATTTGACCCATTTCGATTTAGTGTCAATGGTAGTAAACCCAATAGTCCAAATAAGGAACTAATAAATAGTCATCAATACTATGACAAACAGAAATTAGAATCTTGTTCAAATACACAAGATTTAGATTTAGAAAAACCAATCGAATTAAATATTAATAATGGTGATATTGTACCAAGTTTCCAGACAAAATTTTTTAACAAACTAAGAGAGTCAGTTTCAATCTTCAAGCCAAAACCCCAGTCCTTTTTTAAAAATAAAAAGAGTAAAAGGTCTAGTATGCCTACATCTTTACAAAAGCCTTAAAAATTAAAAAAATAAAATTTTTAAAATAAAATTTAACAGAAATCTATAAACATGCACTTATAAATTAATAATAAAATACTGTAGATAAAAAAGTTTAGAATTGAAATATTATTTTATATCACTTTGTCATGACATGACTATTGTCCATTTAGCCATGTCTCTAGAGTTAGATTAAGCTTATTGTTTTATAATGATATCTACCCAGCTGTGAGCACTAGCTTGCTTGTGACCTATAGGCTGCTGCATTTGGTTTGATTAGCATTTTTAGCATATATTTACCTTTGCCAACATTATTTAATGTTTGCATTGATTGCATTCAGTTAGCATGCCATGGAATATTAGAGTATACAAATTTTTAAATAATATGCTCTATTTTTAAATAATCTTTGCTTGAGATTTGTTATTTTATTTTTTATTTTTTTATGATGGCTAAAATGTAGAGGCCTAGTTGTAGTACTTGTGGATTTAGTATTTACTTGTCAACAACTTGGCTTTATTTTTTACAATTGTATATATAGAAAATTCAGATTCATTAACCCTTTCTTTTAATTGTTTTGTTTAGGTTCATACTGCTAGTATTGTGACAAGTAGATAGGTCATTTATTGATTATTGCTGCACAGAGGATACTACAATCTAAAGTATAATATTGCTTAGGCCAGTTGTTTTACTATGACCACTTATTTGTTTTCATTTGCCCAATAGGCCAGTATTTACATATATTTATTGACTGTTGTAGCTTTTAACATATTATATTGTACTGCCAAAATACAAAAAAATTAACACAACCAATTAGTGTGAATATATTAAGTAATAACATCTAAACTAGCTCAAAATGATAAAAGTGGCAAACCCATTTATGTGAACATTACTACTGTGACAACTCCTCTGGTAAGTTCAGAGATGTTGTGTTCCCTGTTGAGTTGCCAGTGGTGTCTCCTTCAGGTGCTGACTCATCTCTGGGCCAAAAATACTGAAGCCATTGATCCAAAATGTAAGTGTTAGAAAAGATAATGTCTCTGCTGAGGACATTCCTGCCTGGCTCAAAATGGAACCACTTGTTAGACACCTTTAGCATGCATCTGCAAAAATGATCCAGTGATTTGGTCTGTTTGTAAAAATATTGAAAGCCATGTAGAATCTGAAAATGCCATGCTGTGATCTGATTTTCTTGGATTACTGCACTCTTGATCAGATCAGCTCTTTTACTGTAGTAATGAGTTGAGCCTATTAAAAAGGTTTCCTTTCCTCTATACATGCCACCCCTGCAGTTGATTGAGCCTTGATGGCTAAATCCCCTGCATCCATTATTGTTACACCAGTCCAAGTGCTGGGTACCCCATAACAAAAATACATGAGAAGATTTTTATCTAAATCTATGGAATAAATCTTTAGTTCTTTTCAAATTATATTTTACAAAACTTGTTGAATCCATTAGAATTATAAGAAAGTAACTGACTACCAAAAAAGGTTCTAGTGTTTATGACTAATGCAGTGACTATGTCAGATGCATTGGCTCTGGCTACCAGGATCCAACCAAGAGATCCATCAAACTGTCATGCCCTACAGCTTGACCTATATGCACTGTGGGCTAGATGTTCAGTTTCTATTTCATGCATATGTTATGTTGGGGCTTTTGGTCATTTATGCACTTTGGATCCGACTGTTTATCTCATTGGGTTGTCAAAATAACTTATTTGGTTTAATATGTCAGTAAGTATGTCTCTGCATATCTTCCTTCTAAAAATTGCCAGCATATATATTTATATTACTGCCAGGTTATTTGGGATCCTTCTTTTTCATTTCTCTATCTCGCCAATAGCGAAATTTATCGCTACTCTTTCTTTATCCTATCTTGGACATTTTATTCTCTCTCTTGGTCGGTCATATTTTTATTTATTTTTCTCTTAGAAAATGTTAGGTTTATATCTCATTTTGCCGTTGCGTTTTCCCTTTTGACGTTGCGTATAAAAACAGACTCGAAACTTCTTATCTCATCAGGAAGAAGAAAATCATCAATCATCAAAGACAACAATAAAAAACATTTATATATTCTTATTTAAATAAACATTTTCCTTTTGACCGATCACTCTTTGTGTGAAGCCATATACCCTTAGCTGTTAACAGTAAATAACAGTGGGACGCATGTACACTGTTGGACCAAACCTACTGCTAACAGCCTAACCTATTTTCTTTCATTCTGCTGATACGACGGGACGTAGTACGTCGTTTATTCTTATTTTTATTTCAAATTATTTTATTTTTATTCCTTTTAATTGGTGTGACGGGATGTTAGTATGCACATCAATTCCTCTTTATTTATTTTATAAAGATTAACATATACACTACTTTCTCGACACCCTCGGTGTCCACCACTTCCTCTCCTATCTCCACTCCACTCGAAATGCCAGGTCTAAATGAGATGTTGACTACTGGTAGTCCCAGTGAGCATGACAACATGTCACGTTCATCTGTATTAACAGGGGGCGACACTTCATCGAAAGTGGCCATATCGTCTCTCATTAGATCAGGATAAGGTACAGAGGACGACTGGGTGGAACCTGAAGGAGTGGAGACGGCTGTCGGAATAAGAATTGTAAATAGAATTGTAAAATTAAAGGTAATATAAATAATAAAAATAAAATAATCAAAAATAAAATGACTCTCAATGTCCCGTCGTATCGGCAGCAAAAATAAAAAGGAGAAATAAAATAAAATAACTAAATGAAAAACGTACTAACATCCCGTTGTTATGCGGCAGCGACAAATAATAACTAAAAAGAAATAATTCGATAACAGCAGTGTTGGTCAAAGTAACGTACTAGGTCCCGTTACTTAATCTGCCGTGTAGCGAATAATTATTAATATAGCCGGTCAAAAAGGAAATTTATTATATGTAAAAATATAAGAATAAAAAATATAGCTTGGATTCATTTCTCATCCTCGACTTGATTGCGTTGCGTTTTTGTTGAGCCGTTTTATAGGCTGCGACAATAAAGACTCAAAATATGCAAAATACCAACTAAAAGTACAAAAATATAAAGAACAACTGACCGACCAAGAGGAAACATCCGAGAAAAGAAAAACAAAAACAAATAATAAAACAATAAAGGAAAACATTTGTAGAGCAGACAAAGACAACTCAGTGTTTACACTTCTGTGAAAACACCAAAATAAAAGCAAGCGATTTATACACCAAACAAGCTTCACCAATTTAGGAATACAATGTCGACATCAAATATGAAATCAACACACAGAACAGCTCCAAGCCTCGTGAACGGAACAGGTACAAAATGATCCCAATCTATGGCGCACCTCGGTTAAGCCGTAGGTCGTGACAACAACACAGAAAACAGAAAAGGCTCAAAGGATAAAGTGTCTTCAGCAATTGCGCTAGTGGTTAAGTGGTATAACGTCTGCCTTCCAAGCATATGTCCCGGGTTCGATTCCCGGCTGGCGCATATTTTATAATTTTTTATAATTTTTTTTGCATGTTTGTTAACATTGGTCACACTTTACAAAGTCTAAAGTATTTAATCTGTTATATGAGGATATTGATATATTAAGTAGAATTTTAATGACTAAGAAAGCCAACCAGGATCTATCCATGGGAGCAGACAGAGGGACCCTTATATAAGGGTAGAGAGTGATTAGGGTGGCTGAGTAACCAGATTGAATAACAGGCTGTGTCTTTTTTATATTAGACTAATTATATGTTTGTTTATTATACTACTCTGTTTATCTTTTTATTTGTATTATCTAAATATAGTAGTAAAGGAGGTAAGCATAACTGATCCATTTACAATAACTACAACAATGGACTTTCATAATATTCTTGCTAAATTGCATTGCAGAATTCAGAAATTCTATACAACCAATATATATGCCAATGTGCACAGTCATCTTTTGCAACTTGGCATCAATTGTTTTATTAT